ACGCCAAAATTTAGGGCTATCCTTTATCTATTTTTTGGGGAAATCGGTACCGGCGACAGCTGTCCCGATCATCACTAAACGACTGTGTCGATTGTTGTTTCGGTTGAGAGTGCATGAACTCTGGCAGACTGCTCATAAACATTGGACTCCGATGCGGCTGGCTACATCGTGAGCGGAAAAGGCTGTCTATTCACGGACGCACTAATGAAAAAGCTAAAGTGGTTGTTTGTACTCAGATCAAGCAATGTTTGGTTTTGACGTCGAGCAGAAAGTGTGATTAGCTCCACGTTTTACATGGCCAATAGTACCATAGCGATAAATACAGCGTCGAAGGGTACCAACAGCACGCGTAATGCAAATTATACAATACTGAGACGATTATCAAGTACTGCTCAAGGTCTAAAAAATAGTATAACACGTTTACTCGGTGCATTGATATATCGTAATTTCGATAGAATTGGACGGAGCAAAGAATTACAAATACATATTACGGGTCTACGGCAAAAAACATAACTGATGTTAATTGGATAAGCATGTGAGAACGCCAGAGTATTTACAGCACTTCAAGTAAAAACTTGATTAGATATTACACAATAAAAGACCAAAAAAAAAGCAATTTGTGATGAAACAAATGACCGTTATAATCCGCGCTAAGATCTGAACTTGAGCTAAAAGATTCAAACAGAACTGGCGACTTTATACTCTCTGGCGGATATCGGTCCCTATGTGGAGATTCATTGCCGCGTTTCTTTGTTCACTTCTTACCCCTTTCCTCATTTTTTTTAACCCCGCTATTATTGTCGCTTCATACCGGTGAGCCAATGTTTAACTGGAACACGACACGTGTAGAAAACGATGAAAAGGCGTTTTTGGCTCCCAGCGCTTCAGCAGATTGACGCCTGACTGAGAGAAGGAAGAAGTTACTCGAGTCAGTAATCTTTAATAGTTCTCTTTCGTTCCGGCAAGAGCTATAAAGACGAAGAAAAATAAAAGCCATCCAAACATAGCGAATTTTTCATTCAAGTAGAGAATTTTGAGCCCCCTCGTCTTTTGCCCCCGTAATAGTGAGTACAACGGTACCATGCGACAATTGCGCGCCGAACCGGAAGAAACGTATCGACATCAGACGCTTGCACTAAAAAAGATTACGAAGAGGACATCGTCAAAAAGTTGCAGCACGAGTGGTAAAGCATGACAGAGGCCGCTGCCTAAACTAGAAAGTTGATAACGGAAATCAAAGCACAATACTGGAAGAGCTTAAAAAAGCGGCCTACTTCCTGACTTACATTTTCATTGGCCGCGGGTATTTTTATGCGTATCTTCGTGGAATAGGAAACAAGTTAGGTAATTCATACGTTTATGACGACATGATGATACATTAGGTACTGCATACCCTATGATGATAAAAGGACAGAAAAAGAAAACTAGAGCGGCTGTTTAGGGCCGATGCCATAGTAAATTGAATGCTTTAAGGTAAAAAGGGCTAGACTGCAATATTCAAGTACATGATAAAGGTTATGAAAACACTCAAGGAAAATAGAACACTAGCGAAAAAGACAGGCGGAGAACAGAGCCTCCCTGAGCTGTGCATCAAGTGAACAGGCGGATCGCCTCTGGAGTCGGAAGTGGTTAATTACAACAAATGTCAAAGGGAGGGGGTGATAGGGGACCGTCTGTATTTAGCGGATTAACTGAAGTTACCAAATGGTAACTAAAGTCGTACATGATCGTATCACCTATTTAGATGAGAGACCACGTATCCATAAACGATGTACTCATACTAGCCTCTTGAAAAAGTGTAGAAAATAATAAATACCCAGCGCCTTTTCTGCAGAGCCTATAGGTAATAAACTTTTTTTTGCTATGACCTAAATATCTTTCTTTTTAGAGCACATTATAAATTTCACTGTTTTGTATATACCATCTTGAGGAAACGTTTCATACTAAAGTGGCAGGAGCGCGAAGGGAAGCAACAATGTGTTGTGTTTCATATGTGAAATTTGTGTCGTTGGTTTATTTCAAGTCCCTAAAAAACATATCGATGGATCATTATAAGTGTCCATGTTTTTTTTTTCTAACGGAGGACTTCTTATGTTACTTGGAAATCCTCAATGAATCATCGACGCCGTCTGTTTTTTTCTGCGAGATATTCATTACTGATATATAGCAGCCCGGCGAAAGCTGGGTGGTGGCTACTCTGGCCTATGTCTGGGGTAAAAACTTTGCATGAGTGGTGTAGTTGAATTCAGTTACAGTCTAATACAGTTCCTGCATGCGGCCTCATGACTTTCGTTACGACGGATTTCAGAATGAAGGCAAGAAAATTGTTAAGCAGGCCTTTAAGAAAGAGAATGTTCAATTTGCCACCACCACTCTTTTAGAAATGTATCAAAACTTTCAATTTTCATGTAACATCAATATATAACAATAATTCCGAAGAACTTCCATTCTGGAAAAGTACGTGATAGAAAACACCTTTCCTTGGCTAATATATTCAAATAATACAACGAATGACTAAAGTAGCAGCTGGGTACTCTCTTGCAGAAGTACACAATAGTTTTAGGTGACGTGAAATGTTCTCCATCTGGGCCAAAAGGGCAAGTGTTGCTGTAGACATTTATGGGCATTTGGCCATCGGACGCGAACTAAAAATCTCCAAGCAATCAAAAAGTTTAACTAAACTTACGAGAAACGAATTATAACTATTTATGCATCTTGCTTACGTAACGGAGGTAGCCTACAACGTTAAGAAGTGCCTAGTTGTTCTATGGTTCACATTATACCATCAAATAATTGCCCCTATTAGAAGTATCATTATTATTAGGGGATTGGTCTTGCCGTACTTATTTCTTTAATAGTCCAATGAAGCAGCAAGAGACGGATGCTGATGTTATGAATCGGATAGCTGAGCATACGAAAAAAACGCAGTTAGTAACACCGTATCAGCACAGGAACAGTGAAGACGTTATTGTAAATTGTTGTGCCGAAGATTCACATCTACAGTATAAGAGCGATCAAAATAAGTGTCAAAATAAGCACTTTTTTTAACAATTGATAGAATTGATTCGTGCTCAATCGTCACACAACATCATGCAGATGTATCAGATTACGACTGTCTCTCATACAGCCATTTCAGGCTTTGAAAATATAGATCTGCCAGGTATACATCAATTAGTAGAGGAAGATGAGAGCAACTATTTTTTTTTTCTAATGGAAGCAATAACTTTCTTTGCTGCCTTAGCTGAAAATCTATCCCAGACGCTGTTGAAAAACAAGTAGACACAGCCTTGTCTTCTCAAGGTTAACTCGGAACATTTCAAAAATAGGTGTGTCACGTGCCAGGAAATCACTTACCCAATGTCAACAAGGGTACCGTAGGGCTTCATTTTGGGGCCTCCGCTATAAAATATTGCGTACCATTATGCTAAATTTTCAGAACTTACCAGGAGGCACAGAGCTCTTCTAGGAAGCCAGAAGTCGTGCAGGTAAGAACCTTCCAAAAGGCTGAAATGCCTGTGAATAGAGCCTTTGAACTGTTAGCTAACTGATTATCAACACCAGGTATGCTCTTCTACAGGAAAAATGTGAAACATTTTTTTTATATGAGAACGGCCTCCTCGACCTCTTAACGTAACATTTGGTAGCACTGGGTGTATCATCAAAGCATTCCAGAAGATTCCCTGGAACACTGCTAAACAGTCGACCAGTTGTATAGCAATATGCACTAGCAGCTACTGTCAAAGTTGCCAAAATAGCTATTGCTAAAGCATGAGTCCTTCCCCACAGAAATGGCCTGAGTAAATACAAAAATCGATCGTTCACTCTGTAGTGCCAATATGAAGTCAATTGACAAGAGATAAGAAAAACAGAGGGACAAGGCCTAAAGAATGCAGCCTATAATAACGTTCCGCATGGTTAGTATTTCTGTCGCACTCCTACTGGCAGAAATATTGAGACTTCTTGAAAGTGACACAAATAGTGGAAGTTAGATAAGCCGAAAGCAGGGATCAAAGCCGCCAAAGGCATGTAACTATCCAGAAAAATAGAAGTGCCATGCAAATTACGAGATGCTTCCGGCACAAAAAGCCGTTCCGATTCTGGATCCGAGGTTTAGAGGGGAGATAAACTACTGCTTCAAATAAGTAATCATAGAACACGACCACATTCCGATTTATTTACACTATTAGGAGGCACCTAACTCACCTGTTGACTACGATTTCGCAGTGGAAATCTATGCATGCTACGCCCTGTTAGCTTGCTGTGAAACAGTGGATGATGTCTAGGAAGCAATGTGCTGGAATAAGCAGCTGAAGGGTAAGCCAGACATAAAAACTGAAGGGTGTCGCCAGAGAAAGTCTGGCTCGCTTCGTTGAACTTATCTTGGGTACCAATCGATGATAAGAGCTTGAATAAATATATACTTTTGATTAACTGATCTTCAAAATTAACAGGTTCCAATGCCTAAGTCGCTTTGGGCAATGATCTAGACCATATTAGGTTTCTTCGTTCCAATTTCAGCGGGGTAACACGTAGTGCACGACGCGACCTTGCTGAAGTTCAGGAGATGAGCAATAGGGTCACGGTTTTTGCTTGGGCCAAGGCTCGTTAGGCGGTTTACATAGATTTTTTCTGATTAGGTGATTCGGTGAACGTTGGCCAATTTTTTTATTCAGCATGTGATGCTGCTACTGGAAATCCGATGAAGCTTAAGGGCAGGCGATAAAGTAGCCGGTGACCATCTTGGTGAACTGAGCCCAGCCGGCAAGAACGAGTTCAATAGAACTCCGGTGATATCCATAGAGTATTCAAGTCCATCGCCTTATAAAAAAGACGAAAAAGAATAGCACCGAATTCATGATGCTTTACTGCCTAACATTAAAACAAAATTGATCAATGCCTTCCGGAAAGTTCAAAAAAGTGCGATAAATGTTTAATTCTGTCGAAAAGCAGTAAAAGGAATTCTCGCATTTACAACTAGAGAAGAGCTTCATACATTAATTTTTTTACATAGAAATTTCCTAAAAAAATATATCACGTGAGAGGCGCGTAAAAGTCCATTGGCGCTTTACTTATTCTTAATCACAACCTCTAAGTTTAACGTCTAAGAGCGGTAGGCTAGTTGGATTCGTTGTTTCTAACCAAGTTGTACATTTAGTAACGTTTTGCTGGAATCACTGACCGGTTCAAACCCTGTCATGACACATATTTACTCAATATGGTGGTGAAATAGCAAAAGGTTTTTCAGAAGTGGTACTTTAAGACTTCTAATTCTATCACTTCTGAACACAAACAGTGAGATCGCAATATCTTAGTAAATTCGTATCGATTTTCCGACGTGTTTATTTAGAATCTCTTTTGAATTCACCCGTACGTTCATCCGTTGACCATATATGTGGTTCTAATATAATAATATTTGTGATTCTTAATAAACTTTTTTATTTATCATAGATATATCATCACTCTTTCTTCAACATAATACGATGAGATAGAACGTTCGGACTAACTACAGTAGATTGTTGAGTAATTCGTTCCTTCCTTGTTCCTTTCTTTGATTGGACAATGTTTCCGTTAATTCTACAGTCGTTAATTTTCTTTCTATTGACGACCGAACAAATGACTTGCGTACAGTGAGTACTCCGTCTGATCTCAATAGCAACGCATAGGCGTATTTTTCGTCGTTACGTTTTCTAAGTGTACGTTCGTATCTACCACTCCTAAACAATAAACATTTGTTTGTACTCGTTAGAATGCGCAGGCTTCGCCGTGTATTATTGTATTATAAGAATAACAGGCTTGTCTTCATCTCAGTCAACTGCCCGTTTATCCGAGGTCAGTGCTCATCTGTGCAAAATTTACGCCAGCCTTAAATAACCTCGATTTTTTTTATTCCTTTTTCTAGTCTACCGGCTATCACGTATTGTTGTGCTATATTTTTCGATTTATATCCAGTTGTTTTTCAGTTTTTGAAATCTGGTGTCACTAACACTTTGGGGTCCAATGGTGAATAACCGAGTGGTCACTTTGTTTTAAGTCGCATTAATTATTGGTCGAAATTTAATATGCACCGTAGTGAAAATATGCGAAGTACAATTTTATTTACTAGAGCAAAACAAAACCCTTTCCGGTTAATTCTATAAATTTTTTTTTCTTGAATTGCTAATTCATACGATAAAATAAATATATATATATATATGATGAAAGATGAGCGAAAACATTTCTATTTGATCTTATTATTTTGCTACGAAAAGAAGATGCTCCAGACACGAAAAAAAGGTTAATTTGCTGACTGAATCGCCATCGATTGTATCTAACATTTTTTGCATAGACTGTATTATAACCATCTATGTCAACACAAATGTGACTTTATCAAATCGATCATAATGGACGTTTTTTCGTTATATTATTTTCCTTCGATCGGCGTCCGTTTCCTTTAGCTATCTTTAATCTTCGTAAGCACTTCCCTTCATTTTGCTGACATCCTTCCCATGGAACTAACTTACATAGGGAATATGGTTAACTCACCGCATACGGGCTGGACGATATATATATATATATATATATATATATATATATATATCTGCTCTATTATTCTGTACAGGACTCCGTAGAGTTGTGTGCCAAATATAATAAAACATGCAGCACGGTAAGTTATTCGTTATGAAGTCTCGGTATCAACAACGTATTCATCCTCCCTATCGCTTAGCAGTAGGTTATCGTAACTCATATATATATATATATATATATATATTGCCCCTACAGTTATACTATGCCCCTAGATCATTATCAACAAAAAGCTCGGAGCAAAAAATCTCCGAAGTAGTGATACAAAACTTCACATTTGCCTCGTGTCATTTGTTTTTGCTTACGTAATTACCGCTCTTATTCTCATTGCCTTATTATTTTAGGCTTAACAATACTAATTAGTGCAAAACCCCTATCACAAGTTACCACTTCAATCATGTTCTCCATTTTGTTTAATAGCTCAGTAATTTTGGTGGCAATAATAATGCTCAGTAGTACTATCATGCTCACTACAGTGGTGTCCGTTGGCTTTTACAGTGCGCCGCGCATCGCACGAATCGTCCGCCGCAATAGCCGCGTTGTCACCAGCGATGTCTAAAGATGTCTTTGTTCGACCACAATTGCTAGAAGGCGTTAGAGATCTTTCTAATTCCTTTATTTCTTGGTTGTTATCAGCATTGCTTGATGTTGTGATTACCTCTACTGTTGACGTCACGCCAAATGCCACACCGCAACGCACAAAGAACTCTCGAAGGGGCTTTACAAGAGCTGGTTTTAGATCCGGCTGACATATGAAGTCGCAGAGGTACGGATAAAGGAGTGCCGAGTGCCGCTGAAACTGGTTGTCGTCGAGACGGTTTAGTCGAGAGATAAGCAGAAGGACAATCATAGACCAAGCTTTACGGTAATGCTCAGCATCCAATGAAAGGAAATATGAAAGCGATTCCCGAGACAGCTCGACTAAGCGGGTCTCCACCAACGGCCTGTAATAATAAAACGGTATACATTAGGTTGGAAAAAGTTGTCAAGACCAAACAGAACACAGCATATTCTTATCCTTGTGACAGTGTGAAGTTATGTATGTTATGTATCCGCCGTCATTGTTCACGACCTTTTGTTATCTGTCAATCAGTGTAGTTATGCCTTTCCGCCAAACCTTTTCAGGTTTGGTATTGAAGAATTCGTTTAGTCACGTTGTCAGGCCCCCTTCGAAATGTGCGGTTGCTGATTTCACTTGTCAATAAACGAAAAAAGTCAAAATCCGTCAGTGCAAGGTCCGGAGAATAGGGAAGGTATCACAAAGTTAAACAGGTTCAAAATCCAGGGTGGCAGCTTTTACGACGCTAGCCATGTATGGCCTCGCATTGCCATGGAACAGGTTGATCTGACCTCTCGTTTGTCGGGTCTTTTCGCTTAACTAGCTTGGCTACCTCGATGCAAATAAGGCAAATAAAGATGCAAATCAACTGTCTTGTTCATAGGGAGATACTCCTTGCACATCAGGTCCTCACAGTCCCAACAAACGCGGAGTATTATCTTTTTATGATGATCTGGGTGGGCGATAGGCATACGTTTTTCTTCTAGAGCCATTCATTAAAATCTTTAGTTTATACTGATGTACAGACACCGCTCTTTATCACCAGTGATTATAATTCTATGCAAAAATCGGTCATTGAGGTTGTATGATGCTCGATACCGGCCGACATGTTGAGATGCAGCATTAAGCCATAGTTCTTTATTTAATTCAAAGAGTTCATGAAGTATCCAAGCTGCAAGTCTGTGTAAATTCATGATGAAATTGAGTTGATTTGATGATTGTGGCCCGCCTTTTTGGCCAATTACTGAGTTGTCTGTTAGAAAGTACCTTCAGATAGTCGTCATTATACTCAGACGGTCAGTTAGAGCAGGGGGGGGGAATTTTTTAGGTCTGGATACTGTTCTCAAATTTGGCAAATAGCTCTTGAGCAACCCTTACAGTTTCCCAATACGTTGTTACCATACATAAGGCAAATGCTTTAGGTGATTTCGGCATTAAGAGTTTCGATGAAATGCATTGTAGAGAAAATGTACTTTTTCTTCCACGTATATTATTATTATTATAATATATTTGAGCTCAATCGAGTAGAAATTGCACTGACATTACAATATCCTTATAGCACGTTGGCAGCAGGAAAGCGCTTTTGGACGAATTGAAAAGCGAACTTTATTTAAAAAAAACTTCTTTACAACCTAATAGAACAGAAATCGTTTTAACTAAATATATTTAAGAGATGGTTGAACACCTATAAAGCTCTGCAACGTAATGTATTTGAACCTTATTTTAAACTAATCCGGCTTTGGACGTCTTACCTGGATTTTGTGCGCAAAGGATCTGCATACATTCTAAAAAGGATACGTAGAGCGCACGCAATAGCAGCTGTCTCCTGGGGTAATAGGTCGGGCTTCACATTACCCCTGAAAGCCGCTTTCCAGAGAATCGACCGCTGACTTGAATTCCGATTAAATGATTTGGCTAAACGATGCGATCGCGTCAGACAATCGACCAGCACCAAAAGATGTTCACACCGCAAATGCCTAAAGCAATGGCGTTACATGTGCACGTAAGTACTAGAAAGTTTATTATGCCCATCTCTGAGATAAATACATTTCGATGTGTTCTCTACCTAGCGTATTTCTTAGGTATCATTCCATAAGGACAACAGTTTAGGGATTCGTTTCTGTAATTCTGGTTAGGTAGAGCTCAGTTCGGTCAGTTGCTTTGTCACTAAACACATAATTAGGCTGGGTGAATCATAGAAACCGGCTTGCCGGTGTATTCTATTATGGTAAATTCTATATGGTAAAAAAATTGTATAATTTCCAATTAAACTAACAGAGCCTGTTCATCGTTAAAGAATTAGACTTGGAGAACTTTTGATTTGCATGTTGTTCAAATGAAGTAAAATAAGTAGGCAATGCCTTTTAGTGTGTCAATATGTTAGCATTTATTATTAAATATAATCTTAGAAATTAATTAACATTTTAAACTGCTATTTTTACTAATTTTTATTAAAAAAAGCTATAGTTGGATTCGTCAATTTTTGTCATAGGCAGCAATATGCATTAGTCGATATTATTGACCTCGTCTGCGTTAATTGATTGAATTGGTTGATTTCAGGCGGCACTTAGTACTTATATAGCGCATATCGAGCAATTAATGGCGAACTTCCTGCCAGGAACTCCAGATCCGCACGAGTTCTTTAATCATTTTGTGGTGTTGTGCATATACCTTTTAGATCTGAATTTCTATTCTCACAACTTTTGAATCACATTCCGAAGGAGGTAGACAATATATGACTCCATTTGAATATCAACCTATCAGACCAGAAAAGGGCCTTCCACTTGAATACCATCACCAACAACTCCACCATCAACATATTATCAAAAAAGAACTTAGTGCTCTTTACGTGAAGGACTACACATGCATAGCTCAAGCAGAAACGCTGTGCACTTACTTGAACATTCCAAGATCATCTTCTGGGGGTGGATAGATGTTGGCATTATTCTTGGCGACGATTCCTTGGAGTAATTCTTGTTCTTCTTTTCTCGAGGTCGCGGGGAAAAAAACAACATTATCGACACTCTGGATTACCTCCATTTGAACGGTGCACTGAATACGCAGCAGCGGAAACATACGCTCTTCCCCTGTAGTATGTTGACGTAAATGACAGTTCACCAAAATGATTCCGAATAAACATCTCGTAAATCTCATGAAAAACTATCATATATACTATCATATATACTAAAATATCATATAAACTATCATATATATTTATATATCATATCTATAAATCAACTAGAGTTTTGTCCAAATTGTGCTCGACTGATCTTTGTTCGATCACGTTGTAAAACGCTATAAAGATTTAGATGATACATTTTTTAATCCCCATTATAGACTCTAGTATAGGATTTTTTTAGTAGGGCCCTAGTATAGGTATCACAACATTTTTTGCCAGGTATAGATATCAAACCTATCTATTCACTAGTACTAGCTAAAACCTTGAAGACGAAGATCACTCAATTTGTCTGGAACATTTCTTTTAATCTAATCTGGGAATATAGAGGTATGGCTAATACCTTCTTTCCAGGTGAGCAGTTGCTGAGGCGCAGTCGCTTCGAACATCTCAACAATGCAGTTGCACGTTTTCACCCAGATTTGCTCGCTGAAACGAGTTCCGTTGCTAACAACAAAGTTCTCCAAACAGTTGGTGCCGCTTTTTGCTAACTGCTTATTGTCTTGTCGTGCGCACTGCAATAGCAACGTGTAAAGGTCATCGAGAAGAAGACCAGAAAGAACAGTGTAGTACTGAGTGAATACATCGATGAGCGCGTACAGAGCATGATTGCACGTGGTTGTCATCCATTCCGACTTTTCCGGGCCACTCTCCGGCAATTTCATTATCATATTGTCGAAGATGCGCAGAACAAGCTGTTGAATATACAGCAGATAAGGATATCAATAAATTATTTAGTACTAAAAGACAGTTATAAAATACATATATAATATATTTATATGCAAGCAGCATATAAAAGAGGAAAACTATCAGTTGTAAAGTCACTGCTGGCTGTAATGCAAGTCGCCTTGTTATCTAACATAGTCTAACTAGATTACATATAACTAATATAGTCTAGTATAATCTAGTTGACTACCAAGGGTTACTAACCTGGAAGAGATCGTGCCACCAGTGCGTGGCAAATGTACTTCCATAACTCTTCACCACTTCAAAGAGGACTGTGAGGGCACGCGTGCGCACGTCGAGCTTGCACCGGGACACGATACATGACAGTTCAAACAGAATTGGAATCCAGCCCCGTACCCAAAGGCGGTCTTCTGATCCCCCAATGTTTCCGCCTACTGTCGCAGCATTAACAGATTGTTGCTGTTGCGTATCTTGCAATTGTTGATGAAATTGCTGTGCAGGTGCTGAGATTGCTGGTCCAGTTCCTGTTGCTGTTGCCGTCGGCGTGGCGGTGGTTGTAGCCGTTGAAGGGACATCAGAGGCACTGACTTCCCGGAATAAGTCAGCCCGCTCGGCGACATATTTAGCGCAATGTCGAATTAACCGAATAGCCTCCATCGATGTATCGGGAAAATGTGCGTTACACGCAAATTCGGACAGGCACTTAATAGCGTCCTGAAAAGAATCGACCAGATGCGGAAACTGTGCTTCATACACTTGGGTAATGATGCGCAATGTCGTTTGGAATGCCGTGTCGACGAGAGTGTCATCTTTTTCCGACGCAGCTAAATGGAAGACTGAGAAGACGTTCGTCCAGCCTGAGCGAATGCTGGCCGAATGCGCGTGCACCATGCTAGCTACACAGTGCACTACGAGTTCCTTGATATTGCGCGATGGGGTCTTTTTCATGATGTGCTCAAAAGGGCGAAGAAATTCTTTTTGGAAGCGAAAATTAGCAAATTCTCCTTTTTCTAGAAATTTGAATGAAAGTTGACGCAAAGAATCAATCGAGGTATATGCAATATGTTCGTCGGGATAGGTTCCCACTGTATTGAAATGTTCCCCAAGTACTTCCCAGATACGAGACCACTGCAGACGAATTCGGGCCATGTTGTAGTAAGAAATTTCCACAATCTTATGCATGGAAAAAAGCCGTTTATGTGTTAGCTCCTCCATGCAAACTTGACACAGAGCTTTAACGAAATCGACAATGGCGTTTCCGTCTAAGTTCGCCGAGTTCGTGAATATTCGGTCGACAGCTACCACCAAGCCCTGCTGCTGTGCCTCGGCTACCTGCAATCAGCATCATAAATACATTTCTTCTCTTGACGTACTTGTCCTTCGAAATATAGCCTATATGTTCGTGCGGCTCGAATAAGCGACTCGTGGTCGAGTAATTCTGTTGCGTGTCAACAGTATATCTATAGGGTGTTTTGGAGCTCTTGGGAAATATTTTCAGTGGTAGTGGAGATCGGTAAAAAACATTTTTTCCTTACGGAGTGACACCAGGACATAATGAAACTGTGATTACATAATGAGGAATTAACGGACCGGTTTTTGGATTTTTTTAAACGAACACAACATCCAATAGAGAAGACGAAAAGGTGAAAGGCGAAGCTTTTTTTTTTGAACGTAACTTATTTATTGGAATTCGTTTTTTTTTATTCGCCAAATTGCTTACCTGTTGTCCGCCAGTAGCAGATTGCTGTTTACTTAATGAACCGAATAGTTCTGTCATTTCTAGCTGTGAGACACATCTTAATATGTCTAGCCAGGAAGTTGCCAAAAGATTTCCATCGTGCTGGGCAACGGAGATTAATGTACGAATGGTCGCGACGTTTTTGGCCTTCATATCCACGGCTGCTACTGCCGCGCCACCTTCAGCCGTTAGAAGAGTGAAACGAACCAGGGCCGCTACATACGCATTGCGCTCCAGTTCCAATCTGTTCCAAGTAAAAAAATATAGCGAAAAACAGAAGCTACTTTAATGATGAATAAATAGAAGTATGTACGAAAAGCGAGTCATAAACGCAGCGAGTAAAAACTGAGTAATCTAACATCGTAGTTGTTGACGAAAGCATGTTACTCACTTTGATCCAATTTTCATACTTGACCAGGATTATTTTATGATGTCTGACCTGAAAATGCATGCTATCCTTATTGCGAGCCGAATCCCTTCTAGGCAAAGTGTAGCTACTTCGGGTTCGTCACAATCCTGTAACCCGACAGAGAATGCCGCCAGAAAAGGTGTCCAAGCTAGGCGAAACATCGGTACCACATGCTCCACCTAAAGGTAAGAATCAATGAAGCCAACCTGTTGTAACGGCTAGAAATGCAAAGTCACATATCGATGTCATATCTAAAAGACCCTCTCACAGACACACCGTAGTGTATATTGTTACTAAACGCATATTAACCTTATAAGGAAAGCCAATTAAATTCGGTGCTATGGAAAATCAGGCATTTTAGTATTCAGGTTCAATGGATATAAGAGACTCTAGGTAAGATCTTGTCCAGCATAGTATACTCTACGACAATCTTAGCTCGGAATTGCTAGATCCAGGAGGCAATATTATCTCTCATAGACACTCAACTCAAGCAGCTCCAAAAAGCCTGCGCCTATCGTCTGCTAAGACGTGCGTTGAAAATCACTCACAGTTTGCTTATTGCACCAGTATTTTGTAACTTACCCCACAAAACTTTCGCTGAAAACAATGTGCTTAAGCAGTATTATCAATTAATCAAATTCATTTAGTGTGTAGTTTATTCACTTTTGCTCACAGTAGCCAAAGACTTTATATATATAGGTTAACAGCACAGTATCCCAACATTAGAAAGTGTATATAGAATTATTTAGAACACTTCACGTTATATGGGTTATACGAATCTTATTGAGCTTAAAAAATTAATTTAAGAGATTTACCAAATGTCCTAAAAATAATACCAGGTAGCAACGAGCTCCATAATAACCATTACAACTTCCTCCGCACTTGAAGTACCTACATGTGTCACCAAGCTCATGGAAACCCGGTTTCATGTTGAGCCTATGGTGAGACGCACGCACGACAAAGCAAGTAACGACATGCCTGTTTAGTCGGTTCTCATCGTACTCGAGACCAAGATATTCCCGTAAATATCAGCTAAACTTTTGCTCCTAATTTCCGAGTTTAGTCTTAAGGATTACGTCGCTGGGAACTCAAGGCGATGACATAGTTCCTTAAACAGCACTGGCAGGTCTGCTAGGACATACATGGGGCGAGTTCGAGTCATGATGCAGTAGTCGTCAGAGAAATCTATCTGGCTGCAATAACCACAGAGTGCGTCATGATTTAGCTGTTTATTTTATTTTCCCAACGAGGCATCTCAATTCAACGTTTCTCTGCCTGCGTCCTCGAATTTAAAAATAAGACCTGTGTGCGATGGGTCGCGGTCACACGGCTATAGCACGAGACGCTCAGCACGCCGCGATTACCGATTTACGTTAGCCCTTTAAATGGTTCTGCAGGCAGCTATGCCTCTTGTTGCCTAGCGTTAGCGCCTCCATGGAAAGGCTAGCATTCGCCCTGATGAGCTGCCCATATGGTAAGCATGTGATTTTGAATTCCTTGGTTTAAATCACTTTCCTAACTGGAATATCTTTAAATAGGCAATAAGTGGAACAAGAGGTTTTGCCATATAGAGCTACGTTGACCAAAAAAGACCATATCGTGCATTCATCGACAAACACGCGCTGCTAGGTTTTCCTTATAAGCATTTGGTCTTTTTAAAAAAGAAATACTTGCATTGGAAAATGATATCGATCTTCGAATCAATTTCTACAGAAAATCTCATATCAAAGAATTTTTAGTGCATTGCCATCGGCTGTAAAGAGGCAATACTGTCATTCCTTGAAATGTATTTGTTTGCTTACATGAGAAAGAGGGGGCCGAGCTGGTTCGACTCAACTGATCTTAAATCTTAGTTCGATCAAACAACTATCTTATGCTTCAACGCTGTGACGTGTATACGGTCTGTGAACCTTTTAAATAACAGTTAAATTATTCGCATCCTTAAAAGATATCTGTTTACATTTTTAAATGGTATTAGTTCTAGGTGATTGTCAGGCAGTGCTCTATTTTTGCACTAAATTTTAACACACCTAAAATTGTTGAAGTTCGAAACCGGGCGTAGATGCACTCGTTTCATGCTAGGAGCCAGTCGTCTGAAGCAATGCTTAATACCAGTACAAGGCTCAAAATTTGGAAGATTTATTTAGTTTTAGGTCTTAGGCCATAGATGTTATAGAAGCTTAGTAGGAAGGCTGCAGTAAGTTATTTTTTTGCAGAATATAGCCAGAGAGTTCCTCAGCACGTCACTAACTGAACTGTACTTGTGATTTTTATGTTTCTGAAGCAAACTAGTTGAAACAAAGCTGAAAGACCGAAGTGACCGAGGTCAGAATCTGTCTGTACATACAGTGTTCAATAAGAACTCGCACAAATGTAAAACGAGGAACAAAAATGTTTTTTATAAATTAATTCGTCATTGTCTCTGATGGATAGCAGTGTAAGTTCTGGAATACATTTTTGAGCTCAAATGCATAGGCAACAAAGCAAGTTCAAGCTTCAGTAATATTACCTAAAATTCTGCTAATCCCTCCCAATACAACAATATTATATTTGAACGATGCTGCATAAAAGTATTTCAAAAACGTCTAAATAAGAAGATCAAATGTTGAGAAAAACACCAGCAGCCTAAATTACCAAATTTTCAGAATTAATAATTGCTTGGTACGCAACTAATTACGCTATTTTTCGAAGCATTCACCGGATAGTGTAACTAACGACACGCCGTTTACCTGACTGGCGCACTGGAACTCTGCATTCACATGGGATACTGACTCCATTAGGGCATTGGCAGTCGACGCGATTTGTTCAAGCTGCATATTGCTCAAAAGTCGACCTGTTGATGCTGAGGGCTTCATTTTGATTTCGTTTTCGGCAATCTCATCGTATATTCGCGATAGGTAATCGGAAGGTAAATCAGCCTGATCATTGATACCACGGTTCATAGTGATGTACTGCTCCTTCGTCATTTTGTGTTTAACCTGTAAGTTAATTAGCAACGTGCAGATAAACGAGTTAAACTTTAAATAAAAGCTTAAAAAAAACTTTAAATTGCGCGGTAATATTTATGGAAGCATCAAGGTTACAATCATTTCTACACTGTTAGTGTAGTTAATGTAGCAATATACCTGTTGGCTGTGTAAATCAGTTGTAAGCATGATGATTGAGTAAGCAAGTACGTATGCCGTATCAGCGGAAGCAAACACGCCGCCAGGGTTGTTCTCAAAATATCTCGAGGCGAACTTTTCCATGAGTCGATCGATTTTCTGCGCCTCGCCTGGTAGCCGAAAGCCTTCAAGAAAATGCCGTAATGCAGCCACAATTTCCTTCCCCGAAAAGTCCATCTGATCGATATATGCGCTCATAATTAAACGCTTAAACGGATCAGGATCACCAATTACCTTTAACATTTGATAAACGACATAACAACTTAGTTTCTATCGGACTCTTACGTATATGCACTTAACAAAGCCGCGTGCACCCCATGCTCAAGCATATATTAAAGAATTGACGGCGGAAAGTTATGACATAAGTACAAAGCACTGTATCTGAGCACAAGCTCCTTCACAATTGTTGGATCTTCCAACTAACAAGCAACTTTATGTCGTAGTCCATTGAAATTCAAATTAAGGAAATTGTAGAGCGTATATACTAAGTCATTTACTATAAAAGGTGATACAGTAGACTCGTAACTTGCTGAACCTTTTCCACAGCATTAGTTCTCTAATTTCAGTCGAAATATGCACCACCGTTATATATTACTTTCTGCCATTTCGATAGTAACTAATTTGCCTCTACCGTTGAAGTCTAAGTTCAAGATTTTTTGAAGTTTCGAAAAGCAACTTCGACAATTTCATGTTGGGCCTTCAACAATTTTTACATTAAGATGTTGTTGAAACTTTCAACAAAACGGTAATGCATGGCAGCAGTGCTTGGCTAGTGTGGTGGGTAGGAGGCCTTAAATTATTTCTGCCTTTTTGCCACTTTAAAGTCGCGTATGATCGTGCAATAAGGATGGTCTATCTCTGTTCATTATTCTTAACTGCTTAATGAAGATTTTTTAGTCATTTCTTTCAGTTGTTGGTATCCGTAATTGACAAACTATGACTAATGCAGTTGAATGCACCTTTATCAGAACGTGAAACAGATTCTATAAGTTTCTGCAGCCATACATTTGCTGTAAACGAATGTCCAAAATGTAGAGGAGTAAGCATCTTTGTCTTTAAAAGGCTTGTTTTCGAGATCCAAATGTTCTTCCCAAAATTTTTGTGATTACCGGCGGTGTCTCTAGCGGTCGAACTTTCACCGAATACAAAGTTGATACGGTGAGCCGTCTCAATGCCGTAGTTGCAAGATGAAAGTTATATTCGTAAACCACTTGATTGCTAATTTCCCGTGACCCACTACAACTCACTCGCTAATAGCTCAAGTGACGATATTCGAGTCACGATTTCAAAATCTTTAGAGTATAAGTACATTTCGAATACAAAAAATGTATCATGACTCACCGTTGTAAACTGTCATGTACCACTGTTATAAAAATAGCGTTTTTTTTCACGTCCCATACTGAATGATTCAATATATATTTCATCCCGACGATTTTTAGAGAAATTGACGTCTGTACTGTTTAACCGGTCATAACTTTCTGGTTGTTATTTCTTTTAGAACTTCATTCATTAGAAATATCGAGTAACTCAAAATTAATTTTTGAACAAAAGAAGTCTTAATATGCTATTTGAAGCATAAAAATCTAGCAGAAGTACAAAGACAAGATCGCAGGAAGTTTTAAGTGAGCCCATACGTGACTTACAATTAATTGAATAAAGAATAAGTTTAAAAGGGATGGAACCGTTCAGAATGTTCGTAAGTAATATTTTTTAAGACCAAGAGCATCAACAGGCTTCACTAGCCAAGGAAGAGCAGTGCATAGCTATAGCTAAGTAAAGCACCGCAAATATCTGTACACATCAAATGACAAGCTTGATTCATCAAGTGTTCTTCGCATTGTTAGGCGTGAATTGAAAGTTGCATTTCAACAATGGTACATGCTATCAACGAAAATTATCAGGACCGAAGAAGACAATTGTCCAAATATATTACAACAATGTGAACAAAATGCACAATTTTCGGAAAAGGCGATGAAGCTACACTCAGATTAAATGGCACTACTAATCGACCTAACTGTGCTTACTGAGCAAAAAATAGTAATAGCCATATAAATTTCTTCTGTAAGACATCTTTCCCTTTCTGACGCAAACACTAACCTCTCCTATTTGCATTTTATCGAGTCGTGGCTCGGAATGGAAAAAGCGCGCTATATCTTCGGGCATATCCCCAACAATCTTTTGTTCTTGTAGAAACTGGAGACCTTTGGCGGGTTTTCGCTTAAATAGCTCGATGCCCTGCTCAATTATTTCCTTTTGCTGTTTTACTACCTGCAACAAAGAAACCTTTTAGTCACCGATTACGGGAAAATAAGTAATGATGGCAATGCTGTTAATGTAAATGCCCAAATCGGTACCAATGTGTTGCAACCGGCTTCAGACATCAGTAGTCCTTTGGGCACTATATCATTTTAAAAGGAAGTACAAACAGTATCTCTCTGACACTTTTTTGCTACTTTGATAGTTAGTTTTGAATTCTGGGTTGGGATATTTCAATACTTGGCCAAGATGATCACAAGGGACCAAGCGTTTTCATTTTAGTCGAAAAAGAACTAATTGCCAATTAAGTGCCACGCTTGATAATAGTGAACTACACGTCAGCTACCTAAATTGATTTTTTTTATGAATAAAATGGCCCCGCTGCTTGTAAATATTGTAATTTCTTTTTTGCAAGAAACCGTGAAAATGTATGCTAGCGTCACCCCGTTATTTAAAGGTATTTAAAGATTTTATTACGTAATAGTTCACGTGGCATTTTTTTATTTTAAGTTATATTACTTTTAGATTCTCGTCTAAGGTACAACTTCCTTCGGTTAGGTTTCGTTTTATAAACGTCAGATTCGGAACAGTGAAGTTTGATGTGCTTGTAGCACGGTTTCAATTAAATTTACCAGTCGATGAATGGCGCAGTATCTGGTAGTATGGCTTTCGAAATGAAAATTTAGAAAATATATGTATTGTATATATATTGGACTGAAAGGTCTTCTTCAGGAGTCTCCGCCATCTTGATTACGATCAGGTACCAGAAGAATTTCGTTGCACGTCGGAACAGCTAACATATTCCATTTTTCTCTGTTGGAAAAAACTTCCAATAGCACCGAATAAGTAAAAAATAAAGGATGTTATTTATCGGCGGCGGCAGAGCCTCGGACAGATCCACTGAAATGACAGAAAAGGACTAGATCTCCGGAATCGGCAGCAGCTCATTCGCCTGATTTCTCGTTAATTGTAGAGGATTAACGACAAGGTCAAGAACGCTAAAGGTTGACGAAGGCAGGCAATCTTGTGGCTTTATTCGTTGAAAGAGGCAGGTCTTGGCGTTTCTGTTAGTATAGACAGCGCATTAGGTTTGGCGATCGATGAGAAAGACAGAGAGCAAGTAGCTTTAGCAGAGACGCATCATCTGTGCATAAAAAGGATACGCATACCAGGAAGCGGGAGTTGTCGGCGGAAATGTTATAAATTAAATTCATAACTAACAAATAGTGTCTAAGTTCATAGTTAACCGGTCTCCAAAGAAGTTCCCAATAATAGATACACTAATGCAGCTGAAGGGTCTATTCAGAGTAATTCCGTTCGAACAGGAATTTAAGAAACTAGTTTCGTTAACTAAAGAAACTAGTATATGTTAACAAACAGAACTGCACCACAAACCAAACTTCAAGCCACGGCCTATACTCTTTTTCTCCAAATGAGTATAGCTTCTAAAAAATGAAAATATGCACGAAAAATCACAGAGTCGTTTGGCATATCATGCGGTAATATATGGTTATCTCACCCAAAACTAATGATCTCAAAATTCAGGTTGTATCAGCTCATAGAGTTTTATAAGCAAAATTATATTTAGCCAAATTGTAAATAGACGTTTTTAAGTTTACATCCAGCACGAGTGTTAAGCACTACTTCAGATGGTTGGCTCTCACTACGAAACTAATCTAAATGACCGTTCAGTCCCGAACTTTTTTCTATGCGACAAAGACCTTTTGACGGTGACATTTTTGTGGCTTAACGCTATCAAGAAACAGAAGTCTCGAGAACTTCGATACCAACCTGAAGTTGTTCAGCAGAGTTTCCATCGACTTCACGCCCACCTTGATTGTTCCTGTGGAGCCCCTGACGTTGGGACCCGTCGTCTTTCTCCGTATCTCCCCCTGGTCTAGGAGCTCCCCACTCAACGATACATCTGAGAAGCGAGACCAGACACTCGAGAGACTTCACTCGCATACTTCGCTCGGCTGCTTCTGAACCACTCTGTGCCAAACGGGCTAGATCCATAACCAATCTGTAAAAAATGACAAATACGTAACCACAACCCTTTGAAGCATCGTTAATATTTGGTCATATAAATTCATATACTAATCATGTTTCCATACTTTTAAATTTAAGATGGGGCGTTTGCTTCGGTACTGGGTCTCAAATCTAATATCCTTCCTTGAATTCACTTTTTGGCATTTTGATGCAAATAATATTTTTTTTCATTTGAGTTTGTTGTCGTGCATACACGAACTACATTACCTAGATTGTAACAACTTCAATTACACGAACCTTTCGAAAATATTCGCGGCCATCAGGTCGCAGTCGTAATTTACATAAATGTCAACAATCGACTGTGAATCCGCGCAGAGTCGGGTTAGCACCTGTACAACTTTCCACTTGTGGCTGAACGAGGCTGACTGACTCTCGAGAATACCAAGAAGAATTTCACGGAAGAAAACTTCTACTTGCATCTTAAGGTGCGTCTTAAATTTGTCCAACAGCGCCAAAAAGATTGTCACCTGTCAAAGCACCCCATCAAGGTGTCAAGTGATCTTCGGCAAAAAATTAGATTCGTTCAATCTTGATAATTTAAACAGAATGCTCTATTTTTACGAAAACATTTAATTAGGTTGAATAGTGGCCTTGACTGGAGCAGCTTTTGCATCATAACGGCCGTTAATGCAACCTTACCGAAAGCTGAAACACGTCTGGGAGCGGGGAAACCCCGTTCTTAGAGAGCGCTACGCAAAGGTACTGCTTGATGGCGTTGATGAACACCGGATTCGAGCGAAAGACTGGACCCGCATTCTGGATCACCGACAGCAAAAGCTGAAGAGACAGGATCTACAAAAAAAAAATAAATACATAACAAATAAAGCACAGATTTTCCTGTGGGCTATATAGTTTACCTTCATAACTGTACATTCATACAGTGTTCTTTTTCTGATATTTTCGAAGAATCGAGGTATTATTTTAAGTAAAAGTATTAAGGTAAATACACCGCTTCTTTGTCTAACGTCTAAAATTTATCCGGAAACACAGTAACCCCCTTTCTTCTCATAAAATATTTTTATTTACGCATTTAAGAAACTAAAATATTGCACCTTTGATCTCATCTCGTGAGACTTGGGATCAAGTTGTTGTTGAGTTAAGGTCCCTGTGTGAGTGGTGTTCCCATTAGTTTCGTGAGGCAGGGGCTTCATCGAGAGTTTGCACAGTGAACGGAAGACCAAGAAGGCGTCTTTGTGCGTAATGTGCGCGAAGTGCGTTGCAGGCGAAGGCTCACCATCCTTAGCGACCTATTCATAAATGCAAATATTAGGAAGTTCGTTATCGTTGATCATGTACAATTTTTCGCTTTGTATCCTTCCTAATCCATGTTTCTCAATTTATGTTCCTAAAACCGCAATATTTTTGTAGCTCTAGCGAATTGCTATTTTGGCTTAGAATTGCTTTCTCAAACGTAACTGATTTAATACACTTATGGTATGTTAAGATGTCAACCAGACCTGGCTGACAATATCGTGTAGAACGTTTGCAATTATAGCTTCATCATCCTGCGGCGCCCGTTCCATTCGAAGGAATATTGCTGACAACATCTGAGTTAGCGTGGCAATCGATGTTGTTTGGTTGACGAGACTTCGGGAAGCCAGATAGATATTGTACGCCGTTCGTACAGCCTGTAAAACAGCTCCTTCATGCACCTAAAATGATAATAAAGTTATGAATTTGCTTGGCATTGTTGATCGCACAATGTCAAACGATAAAAAGTGGTTTTAATATTGGTAGACAATCCATATACAGAATAGAAGTTTTGTAACCAAAATTCTAAATATTAGATCTTAAAGTACGTTAAGTTCTATAAGTAGTTTCGTAATCAGACATGCCTCCACATACCTCGCAGCAGGCACATGTGAGCAGCGTCAATAAAGCTTTTAATATTTGCAGCTGAACCTTTTCATCCGTCTGTGGGCCAAGAAAACAGCCGCAAATTACTTCAACTATCCGGTCCTGACCAGATAAAAGATAACCGTACGCCACTAGCTTCTGAACACAATCCAGCGCTATGACGGTCAACCTGCAAAAATAAAAAACGTGCAAAAGCATTTAACTGAGTGGTAAATAAGAATAGATCACACATATACTTTCAAAATGCTAGGTGTGCGAATAAGCACCGATGGTTGTTGTGTATATTACACTGACCGCTTTGCGTTTAATTCGCGTAAGTATACCAGTAAGAGCTGCGGTAGCTATATATTCATTCCATGTTTAGTTTCAATACATTCAAATTACTGTTGAACAAAAATATATAACGCACGGAACCGCGAATAGGTTAGCTCGGATTGCACGTGTTTTCAGTATTTTAAATAACTTCATCGAAAAATCTAAATACGGATAATCTATTAGCGGATGTGAATTCCAGAAGTCTGCCAAAGAGAAAAATCAAGGTTAATATATAAATTTTGAAACATCCAGACGCAATTTTAGCTCCATATATGAAAAAAAAAACTAAATAAGTTAGAAGTTGCGTTATTACGAAACCAAGCGCGCACTTCACGGCTTCAAAAATAGAGCTTAGGCAGACCCTAAGCCAACGCCAAAATACCTTGCCTAAAAAGTTATCACCAGCTCCAACTGTTGTATTCCCTGTAGCTCCTGCTTGTCTCTAGTGTTCCGGTTTATTAATTATGTGAAGACAGGCATCCATTTACTAACAGAAGCGAAGTTTGTAAAGTCTCTAAGGGCCTGGGCCTTTTGTTAACATCATTCGTTTATTAATTCTTTAACCTTAAGTGCCGGAAGAAGCATTAAAGGAGGAATTTGGGAGTCGCACCATGCAGAATAGCGGTACGTAAATATACATAATATGAACTATCAATAGTTCTTCTTGAGCACCTTAAACCCAAGTCTCCAGTTTTTAAACGAAGTGTTTTGATAGGTACATTGAACAACTTCTGCGTGCACCTTATCCAACATAAAACATGAATTACATAACTACAATGGCATAGGTTTTTGGTCAATCATTCTCATTCACCAGTAGAATCCATAATTAACAACTAAACCCTTTTAGAGTAGTTAATGCCTCTTCTGCTTGAGTTAGATTAGTCTAAAACTTCTAACGCTAATTAACTTTATTGTTTGACTGATATTAAGGAATTAATACATTGTCGCGCAGTTCATTTTTCATAAATGGACTAAAGCCATACTCTTTATTCTAATCCCCGTATCTGTTATGCATCCTTATGTAGTTGATTACGGGACGTCAAACTCGTAAGAACATGCGGGAAGGAAATACAGGAAGCTCAATAGCGTGTCTATAGGTTTCGGTCATTTACAAAAAACTCACTGCGATGAGAAGTTAATCAATTTCTATACTCACCTGGGCGATTTACTCTGACAAGCTAGTTCGAAGGGAGTCATAAAAATATGTGCAGCATTATTCTGCTGTTCGAGGGCTTCACAGGGACCAGGTAGCGCTCCTCGGCCTGGCCCAGAGGATTCATCCGGGTCTGGAGGCAGTTCTTTCAATGACTCTTGACACAACTGAAAAAAACGAGCAAAATAGGCAGAAATAAAAAGAGTCCCCGTCATTGCAGCCGTGCTAAATACTAACAAAATGTAAAACAGATACATGATAAGTTATCGAGTTTCGTACGGCTTGCGCAAGCCTTCCTTAGGTTCCCTAAGAGCCACTAGCAACGGGTAATACTGAAAGCAGTCACCTCAGGTAATTAGCAAAATTCATTGTATGGATTACAATACGCCTAGCACAAGGGCTCAGGATAGTCGTTGCCTGCATATGAAATGTCAAATTGATTACATTTGGTACAAGAGAAAAGACGTTCGTCAACGTTTGTAATCCGATGTAAATCTGCTTCGGATATGGAAACCCACAAATTCCCATTCGCATCGCAGACACCCTTGCACTATGAGCTGACAACCTGTTTAAAATATTCACCCTCAAAGAGTTAATATCATATACTCGCCTGAGCTATGCAGTTAGGTATACATATATAATCGATTAGGCAAAACCGTGCAGCCAAAAGGCATATTCGGAAAAAATAAAATTAAATAGTTAAAAGCATACGAAGATTTTTATTTAAGTGACCGTACTTTATTTGTATTAGTGTGGATAAGTTCTATTGAATAATAGCCCGAAAAATAAGACTAGAGGTTTGTTGACATTTTTTGTCAGAGGAAGTTTTTGAATAGGTCAACTTTTTATTTAGAGGGCGATGTCGCTTCAAGTCGCCTAATGCATTGGTCTTAGGCTAGTTATACATCTATCTATGAAACTAAGACCTTTTAGTATGCATAATTTCATCATGAATTAGTTACTTCCCGTAGTGGTATGTCAATTTTATACGACTAAGATTTATCTTTAACTTTAATCGAAATGCCATGCCGCGTCCTCAGAAAGGAGCAGACATGCTGGCAATTGCCTATAGCCTTCATGCGCTGCTAAGTGATCAAGTCATATACTTCCAGCCACACTACCCTGCTAAAGAGCTACTGCAAAACAAATAATGCGATTTTTATTTGATGTCTAGCAGCATTTTGAGGCTACCTCTCTTTAATTTTATTTCAAAAATATAAAAAGTTACTGCGCGTTGAGTCGAATAGATAGAGGAATTAAGAGAAGACACAGGTTGAACGATTTTGGTAGAAAACTGAAGTTAGCTGTAAAGCGTCGACAATTGCAACATCTAAAACATGCGAAGCGTCTTTAAAGAGTATGAACCTCTTGTATAGGACACGTTGACGGAATCACTCTTAAATTACTTATGAATACTTTTTTCTGACGGCAGCATTAACCAGCAAGAAAGATATTTCCTACTTCAACACACTGCTTGATTAACATTGTTGAAAGTTTTCCATAAGGAAAGCCAGCTTTGAGATTTTTAAACACGGGAGTATGGCTCTTACAAACTAGGCTATGGACGTAGTCTCATTGCTCGTCCTTATAATTTCGAATATTTTATTCACACTTGGTGTGTAAAATTAAGCTTGATGCAATTTTGCTGCTCCTTAGCACGCAAAAATCAAGCGCCATAGTTTACAATAGTCTGGAGATTAAAAATTAAATTGAGTGTAAATTAGGTCAAAACGATACTACAACGCAACACTTCCAACCGATATCCGACCATTCGAAATAGACCAATTCGTTTGGTTGTAAATATAATTCATCTTGGAATTTTTTTAATTAAGTAGTACAACCGGAGCGAAATGGAAAAAAACTGTACTAATTGATTTGCGTTGAATTGAGACATAGTCTTCTGTAATTTGCCTTAAGGGTAAACTATTTTTAAGACACTTTTAATTTAGTAACAAATTACATACATAAAGTAAGAAAATTCAAAGATGGCGATGTAATAGTCCCTAAAATTGTAAACATATCAATGCAAGCTGATTGGCCTGTCCTATGTTAAGCTATGTAATATAACAAGAGAATGTAGCGAATGCTCGTCGTCGTCGTCGTCGCTGTTATTAACGGAGATCTCCCCTATTGTCTTGATTGATTAGCCCTATAGGCGGTCGCACGTCGTGAAAACTGCCCTGCTCTTGAAGCTTCTCTTCGGTGCATTACTAACCGCAAGCTATTTCTATTTTATGTAAATATCTGTAATGTGTCAAAAAGCTTTCAATTGTAGACAAAGCCACATTTTACATCATTGTCTATGCTATCGCTTACGTAAGTATTTGCAGTTTACGGCGAGGCTTATTTAATTTACAGTATGAGGATATGTGATCTTTTTAAATTTGAGCGTTACTCATCGTGTCAGGTGTGCCTGATTTACCAATCAAGTAGCACCGTTCCGCAAAATATGTGACATTGAGTGGGATTACTTTGAACCAAATCACTCTAAAATTAGAGATGTAACCCAACTTAAATCTTGTCTGAATTGCACATTATTCGACAAACAAATTAGAGCATCGAAGAATAGAAAAAATGAACACCTAGTGAATGGCTTATACATTCTGCTTTGCTACTTTTGGCACTAACAACAGCAAACATATGTTAAAGCGTACTTGTGGCAATTTTACTTCTGTGTTGACAACCAATTTTTGCACCACCCGCGTGGGCATCCGCCATGTGCATCGATGCAGGCCTGTCGTTCCTGTATCCTCTTGCTATTTCAGGTTAGGTGCCTCTAGATAGTACTGAATAACCCCGCACGTACTAAACCAAAGCTGAATATGATACTGCACCATCATAGTATGTGACGGAATGCGTCCTAACAAATCGTACTGACATATAACAAAAAGATCATAATGCTTTTAGACCAGTATCAGAATAATCCATTTGCATAAAGTTGACAACAAATTTATCCCCCGCAGGCGACGTTTCTACAATAAGATCACCATAGAACCCATAAATAAATTCATTTTTTTTTACAGGCGGTCACGTATAAACACACAAAGTTCGTAGTATAAGTATGGAAACATACATTAGGTGTCGTTGCACATTGCTGGTCTTGTCATCTAAACACTTCGCATTATTTAACCTTCAAATCGCGTGCCACCCCGAATCGACGGGGGACGATTCACTCTAAAGATATCCTCCCCAGAAAATTTTTATTTCTTAGAAGCTAAGATTTCCAGGGACATGGAAAAAGTATAACGAGTACGCAGAATGAAAAATAGTTACTAAGATAAACATCTCACGTTGTTCCAATAAGCATATATTCTAAGTAAACGTTAATTATCGGTATACGCTTTTAGTAATAATAATAACATTAATATATAGTCAGCATCATTACTATCATAAATGTTGTTTGAATGTGTATGAATGAAAACGTTTGATCACACGCACGTATTGCCTATATTTCTAATTATAAAAAATAAAAGGTATTATAAAAACACGTTAAAGACATATTCACATAAATCCTAATCTTTCATAATTTTAGTATGATCACCATCAAAATGCTCTTTAGAGCTATTATATATATATATAGTTGATATGAATATGTTTTATATGAATAGCTTGTAACCCTTTTTTTAGACTGTGCCTAACAAGCTAATTATGGTAAAGAAATAGTCTTTAGCATAATTAACGTTAATCTTATTTTGCTTTTTTTCCTATTTTCTTAATTTTTGCTTATTTTTTTCGAAATATTAATGCAGTCATAGTTATTTAATGCTTGAAACGTATACATGATTCGTTGCCCACGGGCATGATAAGAACATACGTCCATAATAGATTCGTAGATTTTCGGCAGCACCTTCTCATGAATACGGGTGAAAAAAATATACCCTTAGACTCACTTTTTTTTTTGTTATAAGACTTTGTTAGGTACAACACGTGAGAACATTCAAAATTAAACCACGATATAGAACATAACAGGCAGATTTTTATATTTATTCTATTCTGGTTTAATCTATATCCGATGACATTAGAGAACACAAAAGAACAACTATTTAGTCCCGAAGACTGTTTAATATTGGAGTATGCTTTACTGTGAGAAACACTCGAAACAAGTTGAGTAATATCTTAAGGTTATGTATGATTAGGTTCTCATGCAGTAAGCGTATTTTTATTTTTTTGCTTTCTCCTACTAACAATAAGTCAAAGGGCTCTTCATTTGCGTCGCCAAACAGAATGTATCCAACGGATAAATTAAATAACTACAGCTCTTATATATGTGATATTCACACATTTATCGATCGAACCAATTATAAGGTGGCTTATCATTTTTGCAAACCGCAATCCGTGAGAGCATCAGTGCTAAACAGCTATGATAGTTACATTTCAAACATGGCATTCTAAACACTCTGCATATGTAGCTAATATGAAGTCACAACATTAAGTCATAATACTATATAAGCAATTTCACCCAACCAACTCCGCCTTCAACAAGACGTTGTAGTACGCCTCGGTTGAAGGACCCAATTACTTATTTATATATTTTTTATGTTTTTCATCTTACAGTGCGAACTTCCATTAAAGTACTACGGAAAGCATCGCATGCTCTTGTGTCTTTGTTTGAATTTGTACAGTCGTATCTATGCGATATATACTTCTAACAACAGCATTAAAGATGCATACTTTTATTGTAACAAATAATTTTAAAAAAATTCTTATTTCCTTCCCATATTATTATGGCAAAATAGTGTTTGCACGTTTGCTTACCAAATCACGCCACATATTAAATTCACCTTCTACGAACTCTCAAGTCAATAGACCTTCTTACTCGTTATCGAATATTATTATCAAACATTTTAAATACTCCGAAAGAAATGAAGTGGTGTAGAAGAAGAACCAGTCAAATGCTTATGTGATAAACTTATTTAATGTTGTTGCTCGTGGCTCCTTGGCTCGCATGTAACATCAATGACAAGCGGTAATTTTATTACGTTACTGCTGATTTGTATTGCTAACCCATAATATTAGCACAAAACGTGGCAAAAATTGGTTGTAGATTTTACAGACGATCCTACAACCAATGAACTTTGAAGATTTCTTACGTTACTACCCATTTCTCAAATATCTTCTAAGATAAATAAAGATAAATAATAAAAAAGTTGGAATCTGCGTGACTCTTAACGTGTCGACAAGCATATAACCCCATGATTCACAACTGTGACGGTTTCACAAGGTGTACAAAGGGTTAAATACATTCGTTCTATTTTGATTCCCGTGCATATGTATTTTCTTTAGGAAAAAGCATATTATATAAATCAAGAACGTACACTAATTTTTATTATTTATTATTATTATTATTATTATTACTAAAATTACTAGTCGTTTTATAATCAGCGAGACGTATTCAGCAGGATAGTACTTGTGGAATTTAAACTAAGCAGTGGAAGTACGATAATAAAACATATGTGTAAACTGCTATTTTGAAGTAATATAGTTCAAAAATACTAGCAATTAAACCCGAAACGTTGGAATTTATAGCTAGGCATTCCGCCCTTACTATTAAAGCAGCTTTTACAGTTGGATTAACCATTGCTATATGAGGATTTGGCACTACACAGTAATTTTAAATTCACTTCTTAAACTTTTACACAATTTATAATAATATTCAGAGCACGCTTACCTGTTCGATCATAGACCGAATCAACCTTTGCTCTGATATATAAAGGTGCTCAACCCACCTGTCTTAGCTGGGTACATCTCTTCGAGTCTTTTTCTGCCACCAATCGCTCGAGTGCTCTCCGTACAAACGGCTGCCAACTTTCTGCTCCTCCGCCACCGCCACTGGTGCCGCTGATGCTAGCTGACATTGCAGCAGCTGCCAGATGGCTCGAGCGCTCTAACCGCCACAGTTAGAAACAGGCCACGAACCTCTTATAGAGTGTTAGACCTCCTTTAGAGAACTTCCGCAACACCGATCTACAATCCACGGATCACTTCATTCGCCGGTTAAGACACTCGTTGGCGCAAGGTAATACAAAATTAACTGATGCCTTCACATCCACGTCACACGAAACTGCCTATGGCAGCGGTGTTTATGTCCCGTCAATAGAACTACGTGGAACACAGCACTAAGCTTCTTCGCATGGAATAGGTGAACGGACATATACGCACGCACTCTTTGATGGTAAAGGGCGTTTAATTTGCAGATATTTTACAATGCAGTTCCGAATAGCCGTGTCGAGTTACGTGGCACAGAACTTTCCCGGGAATGATGCCCGAAATGTTCCGGACAGGCCCTACGTTACGTGCAGTATCCGGCTGTCTTCGAAATATATCATTATGCCAACTGCTTACGCGTACACGAACACAGATAAACACACGACCGGATGGCCCATGTACGCAATTTACTACTAATACTGCTGCTCCTATGACCCACACGGGGTTTGCAGATGATGCACAAGGGTCCACTGCCAGTTCGTCTCTTGTATCTGGCATCAGTGTTTACAAACTCACTGTGTCTCTATTTGTTCTCCAGTTTCCATTCATTGTATCCTTGCAAATAGTGAACAGACATGTGGTCTGCTTACATGATGACCATCGAGACCGAAATCGTTACGGGATACGTAGAGAGTAATGAGAATCGTACTGGATTCATTAATTAGTAATCTCCTAAGTGATGTAAAGACTTCCTGGTACATGCCACATGCTGTCTTTCATAAATGTATTTCGGATGACATCGGCTTGTTCGGTTATTTAATTGCCTTGGTTCTTATCAAACCTTACGTAGCATCACCCCCCCCCCCCCAGAGGTAAGTTTCAACAGGCTGCCTATCTGCAGTTGCAGACGGCCTGTACCTGTGAGGCCATCAGGTGAAGCTCAATGTCTAGTGTGTGGGATTACTTATGTGTAGGACAGTCAGTGAAAATAATATTTTCCGTTATCGGCGGGATACCAATTCCTGCCACTTGTACCCCGTGTTGAATTGTTATCACAGTCTCACCAGTGTTGCCCACTATTGCCGTAGTGTATATAGTCTGCGATTTCGGTAGAACGCGTATATGGTGTGAGTTTCCTCTTAGTTGCGACAACTGTGATGTGATCGGTGTAGTCAGTGAATAATTAAGATATACTAAGCGAATTAATTCGAGTGCCGGTCGAATGGCCTCCTATTCGCTGATGGTAACCATCAGTTTATTAGCCCTTTTATTGTTAGCGGTAAAAGATGCGCTTGCTGCTGTAGAATTGCCGGCTTACCGTATGCAGCAGTACGAACTCCTTGGAATTTTCAGGTAACAGAACAAACTATCCGATAAATAATTACAGTATGAAACTAAGATATAATACGTTAGGGCATATGTAGGAAAATGTAAGACACGCATCTAAAGTTAATTCTAAAAATTACTTGTTTTATTCACACAAGTTGTGTAGTAAAAAATATGCCAGTGGTTCTAAAAGTAGGTCAGTGTAAATGTTTATAATAAAAACAAATTCGCTGTTTTTTCCATCTTAGAAAACCGAATATATGATTGTTTGAGTATAATACTAGTACTGTTAAAATCATGACGTACATATCGTAGTGTATACCAAACTGCGATGCGTTTCTACTCTCCTCGTCAGTCCGTTCTTGGAATTAACTTAAATGCAGTTCTGTAAATAAAGATTTGTTATTATTATTATTTTCTACCATATCAATTTTCAGAAATTCTACTTGGGAAATAGAACTGTTTGGAGTGACCACTTCGTTTAGTAGGAAAGTCATAATATAATCTGGTTAATCATGCAGAAAACATTTAAAGATGTATGTGTCAATAAAGTAGGTAACGTTGAATCTGATAAAAGGATATTTAGACATTAACGCTTTGTTATGAAGTTCGCCCCCCGTACTTGTAGACAGCACAAGCTATTACCACCCAAATAATCGGCCTTAAATTACCTTAGAGCCGAAATTAGGCTGCATAGTACCAATTAATATATTTGTTTTTGGTGTTTTACATCCGGTGCTCAGAGTTTACTTGAACCAGATATTAACTAAACAATAACATGGAAGGTTACGCAACTGCTGTTGGTCAGCATTAACAACAAACCATAAATTAAAAACCTGTACATATGCTTTGCCAAGACAGCATTCAAAACAAATTCGGTATGGAAAGAAGTTGAAGTCTGAAAAAAATAGCTACAATTTTAAACAAATTAAATTACTTTTAATCAGTAGATAGTCACAGTGCCGTTTCACTGTGGTCTTGTTAATGCCCCCGACAATTAAACTGTATCTATTTTGGCTGAACATCGGAACCCATATTACATAAAATAATGTCCAACCGAAAAGAAACTGAACGTAACGAATAAATGTTCTGTGATCAAATTAATAAATAAAAATAATATAGGTATGAAGGCGATAGAACGGAGTGAATATGTAGTTGAAGCAGAGCTGACATAAAGAAACTACAGGCCATTTGTAAGCAAACATGTGCCTGTATTGGTTAGCAAAAAGAGCTGTTACAATTATGGCATCTTTAACATAATTATGGTATCACATGTAGTCACATAAAAAACTACAAGTAACATGCGGTTCTCTAATATGTTACTTGTTGAGATGTTGATTTCTAAGCTTTGGTCAAAGGTTTTGTTTTGTAAAAAATTTAGCAAATGGTGAATCGGCTAATTGGTGTGATAAGAAGGCGGTGCATTTCGTAAAATTAGCAATTTCCTTCATAAGATGTGTGTTGGTAATGTGCTGAATACAGAAACATTCTCGAGATACATGCAAATTGAGTACTTTAGCCTGTCATCCTCTCCCAATACACCCAGCACAATTCTGATAAAGCCTTTTTAGGTGGAGACTGACGCGGTTTCGGTACCACTGCAAATGTACATGACTTTCAAGATGAACGTAATTATAAAGCACTACTTTTGAGATAATAGTAACACTTAAAATGCTAGCCTTTCTTTACTAACTTTAAAAGTAACTATCGGAAGAACTAGGAATTTGCAAAATTACTTCCTTTATCTGCGTGCTGTAACGAAATCGACAATATAAGCACCCGATGGCCACCAGGGCTGGCAGGATTTTTTATTGGTTGATTCATAATTGCTATTCATTATCGCCAAGCTCCTGAAATTAATATTCTACAAAAGATTAAAATCTGTTCTGCATGCTTGCATATTTAATCAAAGCAGCAATTCTCATGCAATTCTGTGTTTTCTTAACTGATGTGTATTAAACCATATTTGGTGTTATACGCCTAGTACTGCCATTAAATAACATTTCGAACGACATATGTTTTTTTCAGCTTTGAACTTTCATATTCTTAAGTTAAATAGGCACCGCTGCGCAACTGCGAGGATGGCTCTCGGCGTTTAGCGATAAACTTTTACTTAAGTTACGTAAATCCTGCAGAAATATTTCTTTTGCTAAATTCTGTTGTTCCTTACAGTATAACCTATGAGTTTTGAAACACTCAGTGTAGGACACCCAAGGGGAATCCATCAAGGACTTAAAGTCGTAAAAAATTGTTACGGGTAACTGTCCTTCCCTGCTGAGTGGATCCTTATTGTTTTTATATGGAGAAATGAAGCCCGACCGCGTACGGTGCTTCTGTTTGAGCAGTTAGCCCTGAAATCGAATGCTTTCAATATTATTCAGATTAATCATCGAATGATTTTATGGCTGACTAAGCTGTTTATTACATCTGCACAGAGGTACCCGTTCATCCTCGTTAGCAGGGGAAGCCGCTAGTTGGAGTGCTTTATCACAACTTCGAAATGGCGCTGGTCGAGTGGCAGTACTTCGCTGGGAAGAGATCCATCATATGAGGGAAGTCATAGGAAAAGGCGTGGCTGGTGTAGTGCTTGTACTACCACCAGAAAATTCTACCGCACAAGATGAAGATATGGAATTGCAAACTATGGAACTTGAACACAAGCTTTTTCAGGTCAGTTTTATGTTAGGAAAACCATTCATGTGAGACTAAACTTGCTTGCATTATGGGAAGTTTTTTTTTCTTAAAAGGAAATTATGTAGACATTTAGTCCAGCAATACAATTTTTTTACAATTATCTGTATAATTCTATTCTAATCTAGGACACATATGCCGTCGCAGTATATTTGGTACGTAATTGCCCCGAAATTGAATCTGTTCTTTCCCGTGCAAGTGCATCTTCGTCAGCAACGTTCGATTTGAGCGCTCTGTGGGCTGGCACTGCCACTCAGCTCAGTATACAGAGAGCTGCGCCAAAACAGATTCGAAACCCACGACTGCCAACCCTATGGGCCAAGCTAGTCGGATTTGGACTCGAGGAACAGGTAACTTAACGTCATTACTTGACAAGAATCAGAATGTTACAGTTTAAAATTATATTGTGCAAGTTTACTTCTTTCGCTCTCTACAGCATGCTTGTGCGTTAATTTTACTGCCGTATCAATATATAACATTCCTGTTTAGACAGGGTATTTTGATTTTACCTATACAGTGCTCCGTAAGAAATCGGATTTTCAAGTGTTTCTAATGCTATCGAAATAAAAACAGATATTTTAATAAAATTTTTCCCTTGTTATGTAAGTGTCGGTCCCAACGGGTATTCTTATTTAATATAATATCTATTTATAGTTTGAGTTTGGCACCCAAATCGATTACAGACGCACTTCAAAGCTTTCCTTTGTAACCGAAGGAACGTCTTTTTGAAACACGAATGAACAACTGAAGCAAGATACATCGAATAGGTCCTGAAGCTCTAGCGGTCTAAAATAGTCTCTTTCACAGATGACACATGTCCGAGTTTCTTGTTAGCAATCCGGGAATGATAGCTATCCTACATAGAATGGTCTCTCTAACGACATTACCAAGGCAGAAGGCTAATATATTATATATATATAATATGTAATAATATAATAATAATTTTGAAATCTGTACTTTTTCGTCAGTTGAAATTTTCCCTTACGCAATAATAGAAGTTGCTTTTGCTTTTCTGCATACCCACTTGCAATGTCGTGCGCTGTTAACTCGGGGTAACCGAAGAAACTGCCTATCTCTATTGGTGTTTTGACCGATGCGAGAATATTGGATAATCGTTGATTGATGAATCGTTGTTTATTATTATGCCCATTATGCTTACACTTTTACTTGTATTTCCCATGGACAAATTTTCGTCTAGTAATACTGGTTTTGGATGAATTCGTTAATTAAATCGCGTGCAGGCTTTAAAAAATAATTAAACGGGTCTATATATATATACATATATATAGTAGGGTCAAGAAAGTATTGACCATTATTCAGGCGAAACAAAAGCAAATAATTAAGTATGTGCCATTTTGATCGATGACTTCCTGCCATTTTTCTTATGACATCATAATTCCTTTACCGTAAAATTCTGCGGTTTTTAAGCGAAACATTTCGAAAAAGAACTTTTGCATCGCTCAATTAAAACTAAATTAACAATATTTAAGGAGTCCTGTAAATATTGAAACAGATGAGAGTTTGGTAGTGTAAGGTCCTGGCTATACGGCGGGTACATGAAAATTTCCCATCCAAGCATTTTCAATCCTTGTCGAGTAGCTAAAGGTGCGTGCGGTCTAGCATTGTTATGGTGGAAAACAAAGCTTCTTCTGTTCAGTAGTTCCAGCCGGTCTTTTCAATGTTGATGCAATATTGTTAATTGCTGACAGTAAAAGTCTAAATTAATCGTTTTCTTAAGCTGTAGAAGCTTATAATGTATAAGTCCTTTCCGGTTCCCCAGAAAATATAGCACCATCCGAGCTTTGCCGCAAATTGTGTAGCACATTTTTTCGCGCATATTTATCGTATGTGATCCACTTTTTACGTAATGAACAGCTTAAACATTGTCTTATTTTGTTGCGTTTCTGTGAAGTTTTTCGGATAAAAATGCAGTCGAATACATTTTTTGTGTCAAGTTGTCTGGCGCTCAAACATCAAGTTTTTTTTTTGTAGCCAGCCTTCTTCAAGTGGTTCAAAACTCTTAAGTGGGGGAGATCACATGTCGTTCTTGCTCAAGCCCTGTAGTTTTATCAACTTTTTTTTATCGACCGCTCCGAGGATCATCTACCATATCTAAGTTTCTCGTATAAGAGCGACAGAACAATTTTATTTTTTATTTTTCAAACAAGGAAGCCGATTTGGCCACAAAATATTTTCCGTTAAAGTTACAACAAGACGCGGATAGCAACTAGCTAGCTAGTTTCAGAGTCCTACATATCCAACTACATCCGAAAATGAGGACACAACTTACTTTATTAAACACATATAAACTACAGCGCAACGTTTGTACCACATTAGCGATCATGCTTCTTAGGATTCCTACTTGATGACTTGGGATAGGCTGGGGGTCCTGTTTGTTTTAAACATGATTAGTGTATGCAAGTTGGCTCCATATATTGTAGCTGGCATCCATAGGAAAGTGGACAGTTTCGCAAACGATCTCTGTCCGCGTATTTGCAAATCAGCCAACACGAGAAGAAACCTTGCACATCAGTTACTCTTTTCGTTTAGTGTTTTATTAAGAGGCGCGGGTGCGAATGCCATCGTTGACACAAACTTTACCTAACGTCAAATTGACAGTTAGCCGGCTATTTGCAGGGGGCTATATAATCACCCTCGTATTGAAAAAGACAAAGGCCGCTGGTTCATGCCTCGAAAATATCGTGTACTGTACGACAAGTATGATTGACTCATTATTATACAGGGTGCCATAAAAACGTATGGAACTTCTAAGGAGTCATGACTGATTATTGTTCGTTTTTTCAGGGTGTAGTTACTTAGAACTAATAAGTGGATTAAGATTAACTTTGGATACAACAAATTTAAAACGATATTGGAAGTATGAAAATGTAGCAAAAATACAACAACATTGTAGGAAGATCAGGCAGGTTCAGCAACGCGCCTTATAGTTTATCGGATACAAGACAAGTTTGAAATTAAAAAAAAAACTGTTGGGGATGTTTATATATAAACTTCCGGAAGATCTAGAACTTCTACAAGGCTCAGAAAGCACACTGGACAGTTATAACATCCAAAAAATTTCTAAGACAATCAAAAATCCATTATATTTTAAAACGTTGAAAATAGAAAAGTTGCATTTCAACAATAATGCATGCCATCAATAAATATGATTTGGTCCGAAGAAAATTGTTTTGCGTATGATACTCGGAAAGATGTAAACAGGATGCCCATTGTCCCAGGAAGGTTGCTTGGAACGATAAAGCTACATTCAAGTGAAATAATACATTTAATCGACATATTTATACCCACTGAGTTGTAAATCCACATACTACACAAAAACATCCCGTAAATTAAACAGGGGTTACAGTGTGCAGCGGAATTTCAGACAAAAAATGAATTGCATCATTTTTTGTGACTGATGATAATCGATTCACGCGGTGTTTTGGACAGGCAAACTTGTGGTTGAAAGAAACTGAAATTACTACCTCAACTTTGGCCAACGGTACATACTATTTTACCTGTGTGAATTAAACAAAAATTACTTTATTGAATGCGTATAGTTCGTACTGTACTCCACTTTGGATCTTCTTTCGGTTCCTCGCCGAGCTTTAACCTTATTAATTAATACTAATAAACAGAGAATAAACATTAAAAAGCAATTCACTTGGATTAGGTTATACGGAAAATTTTATCAGAATTGGGTTAAACTTTAACGGGCTGTATATTGTCGCGAACATGTGTCAATCTGTCAGCCTTGGTTCTAAGCGAAAGCCGGTTCATTTAAGAACAAAACATTAACGTCACCACAGAAAAAACTACGTCGCTTTCGCACTTTGAATGAAGATTATCCGATCTTTTCGCGCTGGACGAACATCCACACATCGTGCGTTTTCGCAAATATTCGAGGAAGATTTCTATCAAGCAAACCGGATAATTCTCAATAGTGTGTAGATTTAAAGAGCCCGAAAAGCAAAACCGATTAGAGGTTATTCTTGATACATCTAGATTTTTGATAGTGGAACTAAAGACCGTTTTGGAGAAAATCTTATTAATTAAATATTAGGTTATCTAGATAAGCTTAAACGGTTAGTTTTTTAAGACTTTTTTAATTTTTAGGTTTCTGCGCGCTTTTTTGTCTTTTGGACTTCGAAGTTTTAAATTGGATTTTTGGCCTGCTGTCAGTTCAAAATGCACTTTCGCTGGTATTTTTTGCACGTTGCATATTAGAACAACACTTTAACAAGGTTACACCTACCGATATCGCTAGACAACACGGTTACTTTTATTTTTTATTTATTTTTTATTCAGCGGATTAGAGAGGGAATCCTTTTGAAAAATGACTAGCGACTAATTAATGTCGCTAATTGAAAATGGAGTCGCGCTAAATAATGGTAATAAAATAAAGATATTTAAATAAACATGACCGTCAGAAGTGATACTTTTAACGCATGCAAAAAGATTCATTCAAACTAGTGTTTTCGTTTACTTACAGTTTGAAAATAATTTATAAGAGAAATTTCGGATTTAGGAAAGTTCTAGCATTTATGGGGGCATCTCTATAAAAATTCATTTATGCTGTTTCTACATTTGTGACTTTAGTTACCAACGATATCCATAGTCGCCCATTATGATGCATTTGGCGCGGCTCCGCAGTTGGCGAGAGGTATGGATTCCAATGCTTCAGGGGTAGCTGCCCTCTTGGAAATCATGCGACTTTTCTCTCGTCTATACGGACAAAGTAAGACTCACCCTAGAGCTAATCTAATTTTCGTCCTTAGCTCTAGTGGAAAACTCAACTATCTTGGTATTAAAAAACTCATCGATGACGCAGTTGAAGGTGAGCTGCCCTTCGTTTCGTCTGACACAATTTATGTATTTAACAATAATAAAACTGTTGTTATAATGCGTGTCCCCAGACACTAACCCCAGCTAATGCAATCCTTGAAAGTTAAAACAACACTAGACCAGAGAACCTGAGAATATGCGAAACGGTGTTATTTTATTATTTATAAGTCAACTGAATTTCTTTTGATAGAGAAATAGCTGAGATGTATGAGAGATAGCCGTTTTTTTATCGTTCATTAATCGGTAGGAGTAAGTTGGTTCATTCAACAATTCGATCAAATCATTTTAAATCCTTTAAACCGCAGTCTTGGGTCGTCTGTGGCTTTAACAGGTTCAAACGCGGAGGTCAGCCTACTAGCGGAATCTCAATTCTCTATGTGTCTTGAGGCTATAAGTGGGCGAAGAGGTTTGAACGCACATGTATCAAAACCTCCGAAGCAAGGACAACCGATGGCTCGCTTCTTTGAGTTACTAAATGGCACGCGATTCGATTCCCAACCAGTGCATCTGGTCCATAAGAAAATTAACCTTGCCGAAGAAATGCGTGTCTGGGAACATGAAAGATTCTCGTTGAGTAAATTGCCGGCTTTCACCCTATCATCACATATAACATACAACGCCCGAAGCAGGTTGGTTTTGCAAATTTATCAAGGTATAGGCTATGAAACACCCATTGCTCTGTTTTCATAAACAGGAGGCCGGTCCCATGCAATTTCGATTTTAAGATATCTGGATATTCCCATATCGATTCTGTGGAACGGAAACGGGTTCTGCTAGCAATCAAATAATTAATTTGAATGCATTCAGATCTATTATTTTGTTGACGTACACTTTTATCAAACCAGCTTAAATAGTTCTCTATCATATTCAGTTTGTATATTTGACTTGTCCATTTATTCAAACTGACAGTTTGAAAGACAAAGCTCTCAAAAAGCACCGTAACTTTTGAAGAGGAAAGGGAGTAGCTAAAAAGTTGAGTCCTAACTAAATTTCTTTTTATTTTAAACTATTTTAAATTGAGGCTGTAACCTCTGAGATCTGCCTTAAATAACTGAAAACAAATTAGGATACGGTTGAATAAAAGCCAGATAAATTACTTTAGGATAATGATTATTTTGGTTAGTCCCGCTTGGATTTGCTTCACAGCTTGAACGCTGTGCTCACATAATAAGTTATGGTTTCATAATACTTACACCTTCCAAAAGCAAAATTCTTTGTAAGTTCAACTGGGATTCGCTTTACAACCTAAATGAATCATTATGTCCGATGGCAGTATGCTTCAAAGTATCCATTGGCCTCTAGTGCAAATAGCAACTTAGCCTAAATGGCCAGTTCCAAAATAAGTAGCACATTTTAATAAAAAATGTTGTTTTTATGTGCTGGTTTATTTATTAGATACTCTATCTTCGATCGGCACTATGATCTCGACGCACTCGTTCAAAATGTTCAAGACATTGTAGCTTCTCTCGCTGCTTTTGTCTATCAGAAACCACGAGAAGTAGCTGATGAGTTCATGGCTGAGTCTCTTGCTGTAGACAAAGAACATCTTAAGGTATCAGAAAATATGAATTTATTACCATACATAGACTAGCCGGTCCAAACATACTTACACAAACAGCTGATGTCTTCGTAAAGGCACTTTTTTATAATGTAAGATATGTAGGTATAAAACATAGTCAGTTTATTTATTAAGACTACGTCCTTTAGATGCTATAAAGCTAAAGACAGCTATAGAACCGTAGAATATTCGCACAGGTACTGTTAGCTTCTAACGGCTTTAAAGGCTATGTAGTTGAGCTACCCAAACATATCATACAGTAGGTCGGGTTCATAAAACGTATTTAGAGTATAGATCCTATAACAGAAGTAGCAGCGCACGAGTAGCGGGAAGTGTTTCTATTAGTGATTAAATGAAAAACTGGTCGTTTACAATAACTAATTTCTGCTTAAATTTAAATTTCGGGTTTCAAGAAGATTTCCTTATAAACAAAATCATGTTTTACTCATTATTTACTGTTCTTGTCAAATTAGGCTACATGTGCTTAACGGTGCTGAGTTAGTTTGCTGTAAATTGTTTCAGGTGGCTTAAATTCATACAATACTACCGAGGTTAGATTTGAAACAAAACAGTTTCAGAAACATTATTAGTCTGTTTCAAGTGATCGTTAGAAAACATATTTTCATACTATAGCATTTATCATTTTAATACTGAGTTATATAATTAAAATGTTAGTTAATCTTGAAGTTGTGACAGACCTGTTTTTAAACTTGTTTTATCCAACTTTAGGCTGTGGTTGACTACTTGGCAACTCAACCACGCTCTGCAGCTTTACATGCGTCTCGTTCAAGCCTTAGCCAGCTGGTATCGACTCTCAAAGAGATGATGACTCGTTTTTTGCCGAACGAAGGAAGTGCCCAAGGCACTCCAAAAGGCCAGGCGGGTCCCACAAGTGCCGGACAAGTTCGTATATCTTATTACGAGCCTGATCGTCGAGAACCAGAGCTAGTTCTTTATGATCAGGCAGAAGAAGTCCTACTTAGTGTTAACGAGGTACGTTTTAGATTGGTCAATGTTATTTTTGGCAATGCATATGCACACATTATATTACCTAAGGAAGCTCTATTTGTGCACAATGATGGAGATCGGAGGAAATTCAGATCTAGTTTTAATTACTTACAATAATTTCGTGTTATCCTAATTTTTGAACGATTTCGCTTAGGTGAAACCCGTCACGTTCGACCTTGTACTCTTAGCATGCATCGCGCTCTACCTCCTAATCGTCTACGGCGCGCTGTCGAAGTTTAGTCTGGTAGTCGCAGCACTTCAGCCCGCCTCCGGCAAGAAAGTCGACTAACGAATGCTTTAGATTTGGATGTGTCCAAACAGAATTACACTGGCAGTCATTTCTAAAAAACAAGCTACTTATAGTCCTCCCTACACTGACGCCATTACCAGAAAAAATTAAAAGGACGATGCGCCTTCCATTAAGCCACACCACTGACGCAATTTTTCAAGGTGCTCAGCAGCTAAGTGAATAAATATGTTGGCTTACATAAACATTGGTTACGTTATGGTGGGCTAGTGGTAGTCCCTAACTAACATCTTAGGTATTTTTTAGGTTTGAATCAAATTACGTTGCTCGCCGTATGCGGATAAAGTTAACAATCTTTAGACAGTGCAAATATTAGGAAATGCAAAGGCTGTCGAAAACATCTAAATAGAAACATACCATGTATAAGAGTGACTTCAGTATATATATATATATATATAAACGATATGACAATATCCATTTGCGTCGCTACTAGTCTAAAATTCCTTTTTCTTTTAGGCTATTATCCTTAAATTCATTTTAGTATTCTAGGAACTGGCCCTCTTCAGTTAACGTCAATTGCTGCAGGCTTTTAGAGAATACAAAAACACATTTAGAATACACTTTACTAAAAAACCTAATAGAGATCCCACGTTTTATATGTGAATTAAGATCTCTTGTGCCAGAGTACATTGGTTTTTTTTTACTGCATTATGTTTCATTGATACATAGATATTATTTTGTGATATACGGATGTCAACTATGGAGCGTGCATGTAGCATAAAAAGAAGATAGAAGTCAGAATAATGTCAATTTATCGTTTTGCGTCTGCACGACACTGAAAAAGAGAGAAAGAAAGACAGAAGTAATCTGTACAAAGGAGCATCTTATTGATTAGATTATTCGACAACGATTACGGTCGGTGTCAGTTGTTATACCAATAGGCGATAAAACTACGTTGAATCTTCTGACCCCACTGTAGCAGAGATTTAAAACGAGATAGGACTAAGTGCCCTAATTAATTACGAAATAAATGCAGATATCTCGCGCCATATTCTAAAATGCTTTTTCTTAATTGATCGAAGCTAAATGTTTAGATAGAGAAAAATGAGAGTAAGGGGTATCGAGGAGCCAGCGTAGTGAATTATCTAGGCCCATTTGAGCTAGCATAATCGTACCTTTATTGTGCAGTTATAATATTATTGGATTTCGCATATCTGGAGCAAATTTTTATTCTGCATGAACACACGAAGACTAAAATGGATAAATAATACTGGATTCGTTTAGATTTATAATGCTTTTTCAAACCGTCATATCTTCGTAGAAGCTAACGAGAGAAACTAAAGAAAAGTCTTACTTACTTGAAAATTATTTAGAGACTCAACCTTAGTTTTATGATAAATAATTCAAAGTTATCTACTTCACGAAACGAGATCTAAAAATTTAAAAAAAACCTAATATTGAACCTATACGAAACAGACTGCGAATGGAAAGAGGGAAAAATGCATTGGATTATGACTTCATATTGTTACAACATAATCGAAATTAAATTCAATAACATTGAACGATATATCTTTATCGCGTTGGCATTAAACATCACGCTGCTATGGTTGTTCATATCTCAGCGTTGTCTATGATTACCAGAAATACGGCCTTTAGGAAGAACAACGAACTAAGTAAAATAAACAATTTTCCATGTTATGTGTCATAGGAGGTCTATAAAAAATATAAGATAAGCGCAGCGATATCCATTCCGCTGGAGTTTTTACTGGGCGCAAGTGCCTGACACTTTGTTTTTGTTCGTTTAGGGATCCATAAAATTTCTTGGGATCGTCTAGTATACCATCTTGCTGAACTTGTTAGATACATATGTAAATTAGAGAAATCAGCTCATTGCTGTCCTATGAATGACTTAGCATCTGCCTCTGCAATATTTTGACTTTTTTAACTAGAGAATTAGTGCTAAAGCATTAACCTTACGTTAGCAACCGGAAGCTATGTTAGATGTTTACCATAGCCTTTGTTTTTAATTGATCTGTCCTTAGATTATATTTATGAATCATTTGTTATTATTGTTATTATTCGTACTATATACTATATGTTATTCAACATAGTAAACAAGTCAGCCATAGTTTGACTTCAGTAGACATAGTTCTCTAAATGCTAGAGTCGCTCTCTCATGCAAACGTCTAGAACTCGTTTACTTTTGAGTTTTATAAAGCACAGTTTGTTCCGAAATTTACCTTCCAGAATCCTTCCGACCCTTCATGATATAAATTACATTGTCGTGCTTCACATCTTAATAGGATCTTTCATGTTTTTTCAGCGTCCTCCTGCATATTGTTTTATTTTCCCAACTAACATAACAACAATGTTAAAATGTTAAAAAAATTGTAAAAAAGTTATGCCTTACAAACGTTATATTCCTACAAATCTCCCTTCCAAATATACCAACTTGTGAAAATGCCTCTAAGGTCGTGAATTTCAAGCACACTACCAATAGTTGAATGAGCAGTTATTGTTATTCAAAAGGCCTACTCCAGAGGTTTTCCGGACGACTGAAAATTACAACACCGTCGATTTTGGGATTATTGTTGAGCTCGTTGCAATTTTTGCGGAAATAGCAGTTACGTCCGTTGACTTCGTTACCAATGCCTACTTCAATTTCATTTCGCTTGTGAGGATCATTGGCGGAGATAAACGACCCAGAGGAATTTTGTAACGACTGAGATCATGCAACTATTTTTACAGATTAGATGCTATAATTATCTTCTACTGACAAATCGAAGCAATACTTTATTGCAATTGTTGAAACTAACAAACCAATAATCAGAAAATGGCTAATTTGTAATTATAAAGAAAATTTCCAACGTGTGCCTCGAGACCCAAAAATATTCTTAGCGTCCTTCGCCCATAGTTAACTAGCATTGTTTCAGGGTTGCCAGATGGAACGTATTTTTCTGAGGCTCGAATAGCATTATAAATCTTCGACAAAAAATGGTATTCTTAGCAAAGGGTGACGAATTCTGACCAGCCTTAGACACCCAAAAGTGGAATTGATGAAGCGGTCGCTTTCAAACCAGAAGTCTATTTCCAATCTTCTATTCGTCGCATATGAGTATTTTAAGGCATACTTAACCCTGCACGAATGTCTCGCTTTGATAGGTTACTTAGCAAAAACAAATAGAAAATAATGCGTTGGTTATTTTGACTGCACTCGTTGTTGCAGTTACCTTATTAATTGATTCCTGAGGTATAAGGTGAACTATACCTTATTCCACGTCCCTATAAAAATTTCATGGTTTGTTTTATTAAAAGTGAACCCCAAAAGATCTAATCTATTCTACCAACGGACCAAATTTGACGCTCATACACAGTCCTCAGCCCGTGTTGCAAGACATGGCCTGGGTTTTTCGTATTTATATAGCCAAGCCAAGCCAAGAGTTTTGAATTCGGAGACTACATCTGTTAGTACCCGTTGAGCTCCTACTGCGGCAGGCGAAAGTTCTTCAATACATTGTCACCTAGTGCAGTTTTATTGCAATACGGATACGAAAAGTATTTGTGATGGACGTCACTTTGTGGAATTAGTATTTTTTTTCTACTGTAGCAGTTTCAAGAATGACTCTCCCACATTAAGCAAAGACTTTCCATCCAGTTCAATAGAACGCAAGAATTCTTTAAAAGGGATTGCTTCTATGCCCGCAAAGTTTGCTAGAAGATCGTTAAAACAGAGCTGTTATCGTTCGAACTTGCTGAACACTCGTGATGAGATCGTCTATATTGTCCTAGGGTGAGCGCAGCGAATTGTGAACTAATTGAATCAGATGATGTGCTCTTTTTCTCAATCTCTTCCATGCATCTTCTTAAAAGCATCCACTTTAAAACGCTTTTGACGTCGAACTTTTCGTTATTATTGTCAATATTTGATGTCTCTTTTGGACAAATAGAACATCTGAACCTGGCTTCCGCTTATTAATGGGACGGTGAGAACCGTTTCCTCTGTTTTTTTTAGTCTATACTTTATCAGTCGGTACTTGCCTCTTTTATGTTTTAAATGAACAAAACTTCCACAGACGCCGGTCAGTTCCAGCACCGGTGCAGTATTCAACCCGCAGATTTCTTTTTATTGATGGCTCAAATGCCTTACCCAGATCAGACAGGATCACTACTGTGAGCACTGTACCAATTAAAACCCGTTTTAAGCTATACCTTCTCATCCAAGCCTAGACGCTTGATTAAACAGTGCCACAGGTCAATAAAAGAAATATCTTATTTCATGTGAACTCAGATGTGTAGCCGCGTTACTTGCCTCCGCAGTTTCAAGTTTAGCCCTTTTGATTTTTTTAAGACATCCTTTTCTCTCAGGACTTCTGCTGTTATGGCCAAATCAATCTCTCAGTTACCTATGGTAACACAGATGAAATCCATAATTTCTGTCATACAGTTCTTTAGTACCGCTGGAGTACTATTTGTCGCGAGCCACTTTTGCCGCTACCCTTCTTGCTCCTGATTTAACGTCTTCGAAGCTAGACATGCCAACAGCGTGTGCTGCATCATCTTTCACCCCTTGATTACAGTAAACACATAGATTTTGAAAATCTAGATTTGTAAACAATCATGTACTGTTATAACTATATTTCTATATATATTTTTTAAAATTTTTAAAATTAAAAAAATTTTTTTTTTAAATTTTTTTCTCTGTAAGTAAGAATGTGGTTTATTTATCGATACCTGCCCTAGGGCGACCTAACTATCTATTGACGTTCGGTATAAGGTCCCTGACATGTGCACCTGAGCCTAAATGAGCTTAAAATAGCCTTCCATCCACTTGGCCATTCCCACTAGTTTTATCTATCTTCAATCTACGCGTGAAGTTTCGGTTAAGACTAGCGTTGCGTACATATTAACCGTGCGGTACGCTTACGGGACGCGTAGTGCAGCCATCCTCTGTTCTACAAAGAGGTTTTCTATTTGACGTCGTGTTTACTGCTTTCGTTATTCATGCAGTGGCTCCAAAGAAGCCTATCGATATCAATTACTTACGGCACCCTGCATGTTTCAATTCGTAAATGTTCAAAATCTTGGCTATCGAATTTACTATTTTATTTGCTTGCTTTGTGGCCATCTTTACGTTAGCTGCTGCTAATAGATATATCATGTTGTTCAGGTGCGCACCCAGGTTTCTTGCCTCGTCTCTTATCATAACTTGCCTATTATATAGGCGTAGATTTTGGTGGTCGTACTTTTTCCTTTTTGACAACCAGGATTCCCCCGCTCTTCTCAGAAGTAAGGTTTAAACCTGATTTCGTCATTTATTTTTATACAGCGCTCAGGATCTTATTTGCATACAGGTCTGTTTTGGTGCTGGTATTCATCCTGCCTTGCAGGTTGTTAGAAATATAGATGCACTCGTTTTCTGATTAAGGAGTGTAAAATAACTTTCCACAATAAACCATTAAAAGCGTTTCAGACAAGGACCGCTGAGGACACCTCATTTAAAGTGGTACTGTAAATAATGTCTGTCTTCTGGAACACTATGGATGACGCAGTGCATCGAACTATTTTTAATCGATGCTATATGAGAGAGTACACTAAACTTTCCCGCGACTTCTTCTGTAATGGTTTCGAAACTTTTAGCGATAGTACTGATGAAACAAATGAGTTTTTGTCCATCCTCGCCATTTAGTGCCACCTAAATTTCTGGCTTCTTCCAGTTATTAGGCTGCTTTCTCTGACGATTTTATCTGCAACATCTGCGACAACTCACAGAAACTGCTTTAAAAGGATTTTCACTGCATCTGGGAGAGACATCGTTCTGTCCGAGAACCTTATGCCGTTTGTGTATACTTCTTCAGGGTTGCTTTGCTTACACTTCTTCCATCAAAAGTCCTCATTCTGAGGGAAGAATTTCTTCTGCTCGGAAACGCCGACCTTGGAAATAATCTCACCTCGCCTCGTGTACATGAGCAACTCTAAGGATTTTCGTTAAGATCCTTAAAAAAAACTTCCTACAGCTCCCGCAGCGGAATGACTTAAAGTGGCTCAACATGTTTGATATGTAGCTTCTAGGGTAGAGGTCGTCCTTGCGATACCTTAGTGGGTAACGTAGTCGCCTGCTAATCTTAGGGACGCGTTAGTCTGGGTGCGAACCCGTAGGGACAGACTTTGTTTTGCGCTGGGAGCTAACCATCTGACGGAATGCCTACCAGTGATACTGACGTAGAGGTCAGGGGCCGTTAACCTGTTCCCCTTTTTGATATCCCAGGCGTTCTTGCGTGTTGGAATTTTCCAAATTCCAACATTTTAATCGACCCGTTTTGTTTGCCTAAGTTGGACAGTGGGTCACTAGTCACCGAACAGGCCTTTGCGAAGGCCTGTTCGATGGTCAATGATTTTTTACTGTTATTTATTGGACTATGTTTTGCCATCACATGGTGTAAAACCCTTTCAAGCCCTTCGACTTGAAACCATTTCTGTGGTTATTTTTCTCAGGTCATTTCTTCTAGGTTACCCTATGCAGTACTAACCGTTAAGATTTCCTTTTCTTAAAGCACCTGCCAGCTCGTGATACTTTCATATCTGGACTCACCATGGTTAGGTGCAGAAAAATTCCTTCTAGGTGGATTCCAACGCATCGATTAACTGAACTATTTACAGCGGTCCATTCTAGAACTGCTTTCTCGTTGCTGTCTGTTATTCTTAAACCCGAGGTTTCCTCTACCGCATTAAGACCTCTTCCTAT